CACTCCTAAAAGCAAATGTAGCCCACCCCCGCGAAATGCGATAGACTGGTGTGTGATTGTGACCTGATATGTCATGAAACGTTACATTCCTTAGTATTCGGTCGACGGAAGACGTCGGCGGCATGTACGCTGTCTGTCTCCGTAGCAGAAAAGTGATCCGTTTCTTACTCTGAAAAAGAGTTAGCGGTTGGGCTGTCTCGGGATTTATGCTTAGCAAAGATTTCACCGAGCACGACGAGCTCACATGAATGATGTCAAGGGTATTTAAGAAAACGCATGTTCAAACATAACCCTGGTTAGTGATTTGGTTGCAACCAGAGATACGATTAACTGAATCCGCACTACCTACGTGGGAAGGCCCCGTTTCTTCTTGCGTATTAGGTGGACAGTCAGTTATAAGGGGCCCCTGGTGGCCCCTGGACCGTGAGGGGGCCTGCGCGCCTGACGAGAGAAAATCGGTCGGGCTGGATGGATGACGCAGCTGGCAGATTTCGCCAGATGGCCGAAAGCTGAATGCGAGTAGATGCGCCCATAGATGACCTTGGCGGCAGGTAGTCAGTGGCGTGATGCGCTGAATCAACACGCGAGCTAAATCGGGGCTTGTCTTGCGTTAATTGGGAAAGTCCACTCAGGAAATGTCAACATTTTGTCCGACTTTCAAACATACGTAGACTTTGTCTTTGCTAGATATCCACATTTCCATCAAAAATGTCAGTTGCCGATGTCCGAAATGCCAGAGTCGGTTGTAAGAAAAAGGCTGTGTTTTTACTTAAAGCACGGTTAGATCGCCGTCAGTCACAATTTGGACATATCTATTAGTGCGGATTCGACAATCTACAGGAGTGTTTCACCGAACATAGGTACACGAAGTCTAGCCAAGTAGGATTAAACCTAATGCTCAAGTGCAATACGGGTTTCTAACGTAGTTATGGATTTCATGTTTTTTTAATACGCGTGTTTATATATCCGCATAAATTAGATATGCATAATCCAGGACAGCAAACCAAGGGTGGGTAAGAGAAGATGCGAAAAATGAAATAATTTTTTCTGATTTTAGAACCCTTGTACATAGAAACGGTGAACACACACACTGAATTTTAAACTAATCATTTTATCGACTTCAGTCTGCCAGGCAGACCGCGTTTTTAACAAAAATTTCAGTTTCCAAATTCACAGAATCGCCAAAGTCATTTTTTAAAACCAAGGATGATGTTAGTATTTACTAAACGGCTAGATCGAGAACAGTCACAATTTAAACATATTTACTCGGGAAATCGTCAAAGGATTTACGAAAAGCTGAAAAGAATGCGGACGTTATGATTATATTCATCCGCATGATGGCATAGGAATTGCAGCTTATAAACATTTCACTCTCTGTACGTCCCCAACTTCAATCTGTTTCTGTCCTTGATCAAAAAGGTATCGGGTAAATTCAAGTGAACATTATTTTCACTCCAACGATCGAATGATTCTTCTCACATCAAAATGACACTGTTAAGAATGCTTTACTTCTGAAAAATAAGTGGGTTCAGTCTCCGAAGTTTCTCCTAAGCCTAACTAGTGAGATTCGAACCCACGACAGCAAAGAGAGGCTTTAGTACAGCCAACGCTCTAGCCACCTGAGATACGAGGCCCCACCGGACGACGCGAGCTTATTCACATCTAAATTGAGTTTACCCGTTCGATCTACAACAACGTTTGGAATCCACCTAATCTGATACAGTAAGCTGAATGTCTAGGCATGATTTCCTAAGTAAAACATCTGAAATCCACCTGATGGCTACGAGTCTCACGTAATTCAAACGTATTATGGCAGATACAATTATTGTAGCGTCGTCCGACAGAGCCTGTAGCACAGGTTAATAGAGCGTTGGCTGAATTAAGGCTTCCCCATGCTGTCGTGTGTTCAGACCCCATCGAGACGCCGAGTATTTCATATCGGTATCAAACTAACTGGTCTGTGGTCTTGAGTTTAATACGGCGATATCGGCAATAGTCGGTCAAGCTGCAATAGGCTCGTCTTGCGAATCAACATAAGGAGATATGGATTACTTGACATAGTTAAACCATTGCTGTCTTGGCTCCAAATCCCACCGTGGCACCGAGGCTTTACAGTTCGATCGAGGTGGATGTGTGAGTCTTTAGGAAATATATTGTTAGATATTTTGGCAGATTTGAATAATCCATTTTTACCCAACTGCGAAAAACTCGGCGCATAGGTGGGATTCGAACCCACGCAATAAGGGGGAGGAGTCAGTACAGCCAACGCTCTAACCACCTGAGCTACGAAACCCCGCCGGACGACGCGAGTTTTATCATATTTGGATAAAGTTTCCCGCCCAACTTACTGCAACGTCTGGAATCCACCAAATCTGATACAGTAATCTGACTGCCCAGGCAGGATTTCCTAAGCAATACATCTAGAATCCACCAGATGGATACGAGTTATTCATATAGGTATTCAAAGGTATTCATAAAGGAAATTCATCGGTATTATGACAGATACGATTAATGTAGCGTCGTCCGGTGGAGCCTCTTAGCTCAGATTGCCAGAGCGTTGGCTGTACTAAGGCTAACTCTTGCTGTAGTGGGTTCATACCACACCGAGGCGCCGAGTATTTCATGTGCGTGTGTGTGATGGTGTTGTCTGTTAGAAGGGTGGGGATTCGATTCCCGTAAAAAAAAGAAGATGATGCACTCTCTACTCGATGTTCTCTTCAGTCTCGCAGCGACTGCCGCCCTGAATTACGCAAACCCATCGCCTAAGCTCAATGTAGCCAGAGGTGTGTAGCAGTTCGCGTCTCCTCACCCTCCGCCTTTGTCACGCCGCCGTCCTGTCCGCCTCACACTCCATGTCGATACGCTGCTGGGACGCCCGAGTGCTCGAAGCCATGAAAGTTGTTGAGTTTTCCCCCTATTCCCACTAAGCTCTAGGTCTTACCTAGATTTCAATAGGGGAAATGGGCCACTGTTTCGCGTTAGAAGAAGAAAATTGGCCCTCCGGAACAGGTTTATTTAACTGCTGACGTTTCAAAGAGCTGGGTCGGCTCTTCATTGTCAAAGCGTAAACTGCACCTAATCGATCAGAAAGTTAATTTAAAGTGGCAAGCTGTGTTGGCCGGCCTCATGCTGATCGATTTTTCTCTCTCCTCACGCTGCGTCGGCCTCACAGGAAATGGTTGACGGGCGTTTTTGCCTGTGCGCTTTATGAGTCACCACTCCGTCGAGGGGAGCTGATTGGACTTTAGTCGGGCGGTCGGTTTGGCGGTTCTTGTTCTTCCTCACCGAGTAAGGTCAGCGTCGGGCTATCTCCGTGCTGTCTTCTTAAGTCCGGTGTGGTTGTTTGGTCCTGAGCTCTACGATTGTGATGACGTAAGACTTTGTAAGCTGCAGGAAGGTCCAGATGCCTGTTGATAGAGTGGGCATCGGAGAACCACGCCTCGAGAGTTAGCCGTTCTGTTTTTGTGTTGCCTCGGCCTAAGATGGTAGCCCTCTGGAGGTCAAAAGTATGCCTACACTTCAACACAAAAACAGAACGGCTAACTCTCGAAGCGTGGTTCTCCGATGCCCACTCTATCAACAGGCATCTGGACCTTCCTGCAGCTTACAAAGTCTTACGTCATCACAATCGTAGAGCTCAGGACCAAACAACCACACCAGACTTAAGAAGACAGCACGGAGATAGCCCGACGCTGAGCTTACTCGGTGAGGAAGAACAAGAACCGCCAAACCGACCGCCCGACTAAAGTCCAATCAGCTCCCCTCGACGGAGTGGTGACTCATAAAGCGCACAGGCAAAAAAGCCCGTCAACCATCTCCTGAGAGGCCGACGCAGCGGGAGGAGAGAAAAAAAATCGATCAGCATGAGGCCGGCCAACACAGCTTGCCACTTTAAATTAACTTTCTGATCGATTAGGTGCAGTTTACGCTTTGACAATGAAGAGCCGACCCAGCTCTTTGAAACGTCAGCAGTTAAATAAACCTGTTCCGGAGGGCCAATTTTCTTCTTCTCTTAGCTCTGTTGGCTAGAGCGTTGGCTGTACTAAGGGTAACTCTTGCTGTAGTGGGTTCATACCCCACCGAGGCGCCGAGTATTTCATGTGCGTATAAAAATGACTCGTCTGTGTACTTGAGTTTAATACGGAAATATCGAAAACAGTCGGCCAAGCTGCAATAGGCTCGCCTTGCCAGTCAAAATACGGAGATATGGATTACTTGACATAGTTAAACCCTTGCTGTCGTGGGTTCAAATTCCACCGTGGCACCGATGTTTAACAATTCAATCAACGTGGATGCGTGAGACTTTAGGAAATATATTCTGTAAACTGAAGGGGCTCTCGGTTCTAACGCATAGGCAATTTAGGACTATACAGTGGTTTTACCTTCAGCTATGGCACAAAATTTATATGTCAGGTAAATACCCCGCGAAGCGGTTGCAAACATGCAGCTCTGTGTTACGTCTTACGAATGTTGCACTCATTGCATTAGGGCTCCTGTCATCATTATTCACAAATCAAGTGACAGACGCGAGCAGATCACGCCACTTCAGGTGCACCGATTTGCACTAAAATCTACTGATCCGATGCGGAGGGAGGGAGGGAGCTGGCTGGGTGGTGTTTCGTGCGTGCAGCTTGCAGGCGCGCTGGTGTTGGGTGTTAGCAGGGTGCGGCATCGATTCCAGTGAAAGAAGAGGATGACGTACTCTCTACTCGATCTTCTCTTCAGTCTCACAACGACTGCCGCCCTGAATTACGCTAGCCCTTCGCCTAAGCCACAGGTGATCCAGATATGGTGTGGAATCGCTGTCTTTCAACTGCTGTTTGTTACATTAAGTCTGCTGTGGAGCGTGCTGTCGATCAGGGTTAGGCAAACACCGAGTGAAATCGCACTGCTTTAAAACTGCACCACCTTCCATGTAGTACGGGCTTGTGGTTTGATCTTGGGAAGAATAAACGACGGTGGCGTAAGTGACAGAGTGAGAGCGAGAGGGATTAAATCAGATGATGCGTCATTTCCACGGTGACATGAAGGCGCGAGTCCCAGACAATGGGACCTGGCAGGATATGTCAAGGCAAACGACCTCCAGGTAAGCTGGATGCTGTCTTGTTGCCTTTGCCCACTCATTATCTTCATTTCAGCAACGAGCAAGCTCAACGGCTAGACAACTTACCAATCGCTAATGCCGCCGCCGCCGCTGACGAGAACGCATCCGTTGGGAACTGCTGGGACACAATCCAGTCGCAGACGCTGGCCGTCCTCGGTCGCGCATCCCGTCACCTACAACCTGCTCTCCGAGAACGACCGACTGCAAAAAGCCTGCATAGACCACCCCACCGACGACGAAGACGACAACAAAGCAGCATTCTACCGTTGCCGCCGCGAGATGCAGAACGCACGGACGGCTCGCAAGTCTATCGAGATCCAAGGGTACGCGGACCACAACAAATGGAAGAAGATCTTTACCATCCAAGCAATCTACTGTCCGCCCGCCAAAGGTATTTCACCTCCCCTCGCCGCCGACTGAATAACCACGTTCACCGAGAAGACACAAATTCTGCACCGATGGGCCGAACAATTCAGAGGCGTCCTCAATCGCCCCTCCAACATCTCCGACACCGCCATCGCCCGCCCGCCCCAATTGAAGACCAACGCCAATCGTCACCTCCCACCATCTATCCACGAGACTATCAGGGCCGTGCAGAAGCTCTCCAGCGGGAAAGCGCCCGCATCGGATGCGAGCTCTGCGGAGGTCTACAAGCATGATGGTCCCCAATTCATGGAGCACCCAGCGGCTTTGTTCCAGGAGATGTGGCTTCAAGGAGAAGTCCGCAGGATTTCAAAGACGCCACCATCATCCACCTGTCCAAACGGATAGGAAACCGCCAGCTTTGCGACAACAACCAAGGCATCTCCCTGCTAAACACTGCCAGTAAGATATTCGCTCACATTCTTCTCAATCGCCTGAACAATCACTTGGATCAAGGTCTTCTGGCGAAAAGTCAGTGCGGCTTTCGCCGTCATCGTGGCACCATGGACGGGATCTTCGTCACCCATCAGCTGCAGGTAAGGCGTCAGGAGATGCGGACCCACCTGCACTTTTCCTTCGTGGATCTGACGAATGCATTCGACAGGATGAATTGTGACGAAATGTGATTTGGCTGTCCGGGACGATTCAGTCAGAGGGTGCGTCAGCTCCACGATGGCACGATAGCACGCATTACGGATTATGGAGCTGTCTCGGATAATTTGCTTCTCCCTTGTCTTTGTCGGTAATATCATTCTGCCTATATATCATGCGCCGCTGTGCGGCTGCTGGTTGGGCTCGAGAGAGAGTCCATAAGGCACAACGGAACGAGTGAGTTCCGTATGAACGATCGGTGAGCGCCCCCTAACACTGTATATTCCCGATCAAAAACCGACAAGGCAACGGGCTCGTGGCCCGGTGAGTAGAGGCGTTGACTTCTAAACCAACAGGTCGCGAGTTCGAGTCTCGGGTGTTCCACACTTCGGGCTTGGGTATGGCTGGCTGACGACGGCTAATAAGCCAGAAATGGCCATTCCAGTCTCCCTTGTCTTTGTCGGTAATATCATTCTGTTTGCAGAAAAAGTGTCACGAGATGCGGTCCCACCTGCACTTTACTTTTATGGATCTAACGAATGCATTCGACAGGGTGAATTGTGACGATATGTGGAAAATCATGCGGTGATTTGGCTGCCCCGGACGATTCAGTCAGAGGGTGCGTCAGCTCCATGATGGCATGATAGCACGCATCACGGACAATGGAACTGTCTCGGAGGAATTCGCAGTGACCAACGGCGTAAAACACGACTGCGTCCTCGCGCCTACCCTCTTCAGTCTTATGTTCCCCTCCATGCTGATGGACGCTTAATGCAAAGAACGCCCCGGGATCCGCCTCGCCTATGGGACGGCTGGCCACCTCCTCAACCACAGACGTATGCACTTCCGGTCGCATGTATCCACAGTCACCATCCATGAACTTCTGTTCGTCGATAAGCACCTCGGGATCCGCATCGCATACAGAACTGTGAGCAAACTGTCTAACCGCCGGACGATGCAGATTTGATCGCGTTCGTCCAAAACCACCGTCCACTAGGAGAGTCAGTCTGAAACAACTCCTTCTCAGCGTGTTCACGGCACCCTCACGCATGTCAGATGTACGCTGCTCAACCCGAGTTGTGTGTAATCATGGTGCTTGTGTTTGAGGAGCCAGGTCGTGCATGTGGCGCGCGTATACACGGTCACTATACCCTGTCAGCCACCGCGCCCATTTCCCGCTCCAGTCAACTGACCGGCTCGGACAGTGGCTGTGGCCTGAGAATGTGAAGGGTGAGTGAGTTTGACGAATCGGCGCACTTTGTCCTCACTATAAACTATCTGAAGCTATCACGGTGTACTAGAAGCCGTGGCTTGGGAGGTTGCCAGCTGACGGAATAACATGGACCTCGCAGTCGACCTAATATGTTTGTGTATGGAGTGGCTGGCTGGTTCCAATGGCTCTTTCTTAATGTGGCCTCTATGACACTCTCGATGCAAGAGATCCGAGCTGGGTGTGGCGGCACGCCTAGGTGTCGTTTCGGCCGCGCCAGCCTCAATTCTTTGTTCTTGTTCATGTTGTTGTCGGTCAGAAGCCCGATTGTTTGCTGTGTAGACTAAGGGGTGTGGAATTTTACGCCAAGGTGCTGGCTCGATCGCGCCATCTGCCTGCGCCCTCCCTCACCTCCGGTTCTCTGTACTCTGTCTTGACGCCGGGTCTAGGTGGAGGAGGAGAAGAGTGTGATAGATACAGCGCAAGTCTTCCATCACTTTAAACTAAAGCACGCGCAAGTCACTGCCCCTGATCTCATCCTGCTGTGAAGCGTACGGAGGACGTCGTTGGATGCGACTGCTGAAATGTTGTGGCGTTGCCGTAGTAAGGCCCAGGCCAACATTGGTCTTTCTTCCACAGAACAATAGTCGGGGATTAAAGTGGAGTTTGGCAGCCGTCTGGGACATATGCGCAGCCTTATGTAGTGAAAGCACTGCTCAATCCCCCAAAGGGAGAAGGGCTAGAAAAATTGTTCTAAACAAATGCTGGAGACCCACGCCGTCTGTAGGTTGATTATTTCCACAGACTCGAAAGTAACTGTCAAAATGATCGAAATCAAAACGGCACTCTTGCCCTTCCTCCCCTCCTTCTACTCCTCCTCGCCCGCCATCCCCCCACCCCCTCCTCCTCCTCCTCCTCCTCCTCCTCCTCCCCCTCCTCCTCGTTCCCGCCGCCCAACTCACAAGATTGGTAGGGTGAGTCCGCTCACTCTGGCAGCCTGGAATGTTCGTTCCCTTCTAGACAATCCGGGGGCATCCGACCGGAACGGAAGACGGCATTAGTGGCTCGAGAACAGGTGCGATACAAGGTGGACATCGCCACACTGAGAGAGACCAAAATTTTCGAACAAGGCCAACTGGAGGAGGTGGGTGTCGGTTATACATTCTTCTGGAGCGGTCGCCCTAGGACAAAGCGACGAGACGCGGGTGTCACCTTCGCCATCCGGAACGACATCGTGGTACGACCGCCCTGTCTGCCGCAGGGCATCAACGATCGCCTGATGAGCCTCCGCTTTCCTCTCTCGGGGGGAGAAATTACCAACCTTGTCAGTATCTACCCTCCGCCGATGAGCAGTCCCGCCGAGACGAGAAACAAATTCTACGCGGAACTGCACGCAGTCCTGGCGTCTGAGCTGACGACTTGGTGACTTGTCCTTGGTGATTTAAACGCCCACATCGGTTTAGACCCTGCTGCCTGGAGATGAATTCTGGGTCCCTATCGTCTCCATAGCTTTAAAGATAACGAACTGCTCTTCCTAACAACACCGCCTCATCCTGACGAATATATCCTTCCGTCTCGCGACGCGAAAGAAAGCGAATTTGATACACACTCGGTCGTGGCCTTGGCGCATACTAGACTTTGTCCTCGTCCAGAGGCGAGACCAACGTAGGCGGAACCCAACTGCAAGTGGCGGAGAACTTCATGCATGTGGGCAGCACCCTCTCCTGCAGCATCAAAATCGACAATGAAATGGCCCGCCGAATTTCCAAGGTAGTCCTCAAAATGCAGGTTGGAATCGTTACGGGCTTCACATCAGCCCCGAACCTAGAGATGCACAAGGCAGTCATCCTGCAGACGTTGATGCATGGAGCGGAGACCTGGACTGTGTACATGAAGCAGGCACGTATACTCTATCATTCCCATCTCAGCCGTCTTTGACAAGTACTGAATCTGAAGAGGCAGGAACTGATCCGTTTCTTCCTCTGAAAAAGATTAAAAGGTTGGACTGTCTCGGGATTTGTGCTTAGAAAAGATTTCCCCGAGCACGACGAGGTCAAATGAATGATGTCAAGGGTATTTAAGAAAACGCATGTTCAAACATAACCCTGGTTAGTGATTTGGTTGCAACCAGAGGTACGATTAACTGAATCGGCACCATCTACGTGGGAAGGCCCTGCTTCTTGTTGCGTACCAGGTGGACAGTCAGATATTAGGGGCGCACCTCGAGTTGGTGGTCCCTGGACCGTGAGGGGGTCAGCGCGGCTGACGAGAGAAAATCGATCGTGCTCGATGGATGACGCAGCTGGCAGAATTCGCCAGATGGCCGAACGCTGAATGCGACTAGAAGCGCCGCTAGATGACCTTGGCAGCAGGTCGTCAGTGGCGTGCGCAATTGTTGAGTGTGTGCGTCACTGAACAATGGCAGTGTCCCTAAAACCGCTCACGTGGCAAATGCACTGGAAAAACACGCTGGCTAGATCGCGGCTTGTCTAGCGTTAATTGGAAACGTGCATTCAGAGAATGCCAACATTGGGTCCGACTTTGAGACACACGTAGACTTTGTCCTTGCTAGATATCCATATTTCCATCAAAAATATCAATTACCGATGTCAGAAATGCCAGAGTCGGTTATAAAAACAAAAAGCTGTTTTAGTACTTAAAACACGGGTAGATCGCCGTCAGTCACAATCCGGACATATCTACTCGACAGATCACGAGACGAAGTGCGAATATTTGCAGGAGTGCAGACGTTTTTATTAATAATATGCGTGTGATACTAGAGGAAAATTAAATAATTATTTCTGATTTTAGAACGCACGCATTAGATCGGGGTCTGTCTGGTATTAATTGGAAAGGGGCACTCAGCAAATTTCGACATTGTGTCGACTTCAGCCTGCCAGGCAAACCACATTTCTTACAAAAATTCCAGTTCCCAAAGTCATAGAGTCGCCAAAGTCTATTTTTAGAACAAAGAACGAGGTTAGTATTTAAAAAACAGCTAGATCGTAACAGTCACAATTTAAACATATCTACTCGTGAAATCATCAAACGAATCAAGAAAAGCTGCAATAAATGCGGGCCTTATCATTATAAACATGCGCATGATAGCATAGTAATTGCAGCTTATAAAAATTTCACCTTCTGTGCGTCCCCAACATCAATCTGTTGCTGTCCTTGATCGAAAAGGTATCGGAAAATTCAAGTGAACATTATTCTCGCTCCAGCGATCGAGTGATTCTCCTCACATCAAAATGACACTGTTAAGAATGCTTTACTTCTGAGAAATAAGTGGTTTCAGTCTCCGAAGTTGCTCTTTAGCCTAACTGGAGGGATTAAAACCCACGACAACAAAGATAGGCTTTACTACAGCCAACGCTCTAGCCACCTGAGATCCGAGGACATCCTGGACTGTTTTTTCAACCCTCGCTTCTCACCACATCTCTCTCGCGAATCCCACACCGTCCATTAACGTGAATCGCCTTCCCGAGCCACCACTAGCATATTTTTCTTGTTCTTCTTCTCCTTTTTCTTTTTTTCTTCTTTTCTTCTTCTTCTTCTTCTTCTTCTTCTTCTTCTTCTTCGTCTTCCTCCTACTCCTCATCCGGCTCCTCCTCCTTCCCTAATGCCCCGATGACAGGCGCTCTATCGGCTGTCACTTACATAAACACCACACACATCCCTGACACAACAACAGACTATATGCAATGAGGACCAGGACTACACCTGCCCTCACTGCAACCGCAACTTCACCTCACATATTGGCCTGGTCGGTCACTTGCGAATCCATCGCACAGAGGCTGACGAACCAGTGCCTGGAGCACCCATCTTTACCCACCAAGCTCGTCTCAACTGCCCACAATGTCCTCGCACTTTCAGGCATCGCATGGGCCTATTCGGCCACATGCGAATCCACGACTACCCACGGTAGACAACCGCCGGCTACACCCCATCATCACATCCTTCCTTCCTGCCTCCACCACCACAAGCACCCCATCAAATATCAGCAATCACCCTCCGCATGCATACAACAGCCGTATCCCACGCAAGTCGGAAGTGTGCATCTCGACTCGGTCGCCATGCGGCTTCAGCTGCACGGTCGATTCGAGTCTGAGAGCATTCCGACACGTCAAGCGTCGTGGATAAGAAGGTTGCAGATTGACGCACCACTCGGTCCACGCAGGCCGTCCCATTGTGTGTGTGTGTTGTGTGGAGTGGCGGACTGGTATGCTGGGGACGGGCTGAAGCAGCACATTCAACGGCCCTCTCACGGATGTGAGAGACACGCCGTTCAACCCCCGTTGTGTGAAGTCCTGGTGTTTGTGTGTATGGGGGGCCAGGTCGTGCTGTGGCGCACGCAAGTGTGAACTGTCAGCCATCGCGCCCATTCCCCACTCCAGTCTGATGACCGGCTCGGACAGCGGCTAGGGTGTGGGAATGTGAAGGGAGAGTGAGGTCGACGACTTAGCACACTTTCCTCACTATAAACAATCTGACGCGCTTGAAGCTATCACGGTGCGCTAAAAGCCGTGGCTTGGAAGGTTGCCAACTGACGGGATAACTTGGACTTCCTCCAGACTTGCGGTGTTCTGAGAGTTAGGCTGCAATGGCTCCTTCTCAATGTGGCCTTTATGGCACTCACACCACAGTGTGGGATCCGAGCCAGGCGTTGGCGGAACGCACAGGTGCGGCTTCGGTCGTGCCAGCCTCCAAATCTCTGTTGTGTTGGTTGAAATCCTGGTTATTGTTGCGTGGACCAGGGGGTGTGGTGGAACGCCAAGGTGAGGATCCGTCCGAGCCATCCACCTGCGGCCTCCCTCGTCTCCGGTCTTCTTGACTCTGTCTTGACACCGGGCCCAGGCGGGGGAGGAGGAGAGCGTGTAGGTATATGCAGCGCAAGTCTACCCGCACTATAAACCCCTGCGTAAGTCACCGTCCCTGCTCCCACCGCTGCTGCAGCTCTGGGGCACACGGCGGACATCATCGAAACCGATGGTCGAAGTATCGTGTGTTTTTGTTTGAGTGCGGGACTGGCGGGCTGCGAGCCAGGCTGAAACATCTCCTTCTCAGCGTGTTCACGGCACCCTCACTCAAGTGAGATATACGCCCCTCAACCCGCGTTGTGCGCAATCCAGGTGGCTGTGTTCGGTGGGCGAGAATGACGCATGTTCAAATGCTACACTGTATAGTCGATTGGTTGCAAACAGAGATCGAGTGTTTCTCCTCGCATCAAAGTGATTTGCTTCTGAAAAATAGGCGGGTTCAGTCTCCGAAGTTGCTCCTAAGCCTAACCACAGTGTCCGAAATTCCTACTTAATTCTTCTCTAACGAAAATGCAATTTGTTAACGCAGATACTCCGCGGTGCTTTGACCTTTTCTAATTTGCACAATGCATGTTATAACTGCTAAGATTTAACTAGATATTCCACCAAATGAGTTGGTCCCTGTTTTGCGATTTTTCTTGTTCTCACATCAACAGAAATGACTGCAGTGTCATGGTACTGGCGATAATGTTCATAGGTGTAGGACAGCGGCATTATTCATAAACTTCATTAAGTATCTCTTTTACTTTATCGTGGACGGATGTTGTAAATATTTCCTAGTGAACATAGTCATAGTCTCGTCGTGGGCTTTCTAATGCGGTATCTGCAGGTAGACAGTCCACATCAACACACATACGTGCATAACCTATTATAATTATGGGAATTAACGCGAATTAAATGCGCGGTTTCATCCGACTGATGCTACTAACGACTTAGCACTCGAGAACCTGAAAAAAAGGACGCTGCCAGTTATTTTGTTAAGATAAGAATTCCGCATTGGTTGCCTTAGCAGACAAATCCCAACACACCAGAATCCCCAGCTGATATAATTTGTAATTGAAATACTCTGATGCACGCCTGGTCCGAGACAAAGCCGTAGGTATCAATTGAAATGTTAGTGGTAGATACAAGTTTGATGTATCCTGATATAGGAGGCTCGAGAAATAATTAGTGTCGCCGTTAAGGAGAGCACCATTCTGATTTGTTTGCAGTTGCCCGCCTGACAAAGACCAAAATGAGCAGAACCGCGTTTGAAGTAAGCGCAAGTTTCGTCTAAGCTGGTTATAATTTTCCAGCATTTCGTCCTTGCAGCAACTAGGGATTGTTGTAACAGTTTGAATTAATAGCCACTGGCCCAGAGATGGAATAATAGTCCTCACATCAAAATGACACTCTTAACAATGCTTTGCTTTTGAAAAATAAGTGGGTTCAGTCGTCGACGTTGTTCCTAGGCCTAACTGGTGGGATTCGAAACCACGACAGCAAAGTGAGGCTTTATTACAGCCAACGATCTAGCCACCTGAGATACGAGGACCCACGGAATACGTGAGTTTTATTACATTTGCGCCAAATTTACCCGCCCAACCTACTACAGCGTCAGGAATCCACCAAATCTGATAAAGTAAGCTGACTGCCCAGGCAGGATTTCCTAAGTAATACATCTAGAATCCACCAGATGGCAACGAGTCTCATGTAATTCATAGGTATTATGGCAGATACGATTAATGTAGCGTCGTCCGGTGGAGCCTCTGAGCACGTGTGACGAGAGAGTTGGCTGATCTCAGGCTTCCCCTCGCTGCAGTGGGTTCATACCCCACCGAGGCGTCGTGTATTTCATATGCGTGTCAAAATGACTCGTCTGTGTACTTGAGTTTAATACGGCGATATCGACAATAGTCGGCCAAGCTGCAATAGGCTCGCCTTGTGAGTCAACATAAGGAGATATGGATTACTTGACATAGTTAAACCATTGCGGTCTTGGCTTCCAGTCTCACCGTGGCACCGATGCTTAACAATTTGATCAACGTGGATGATTGGGACTTTAGGAAATATATTCTGTAAACTGAAGTCGCTCTCGGTTCTGACGGATAGGCAATTTTAGATTATACAGGGGTTATACATTCAGGTGTGGCACAACACTGACGAATTAGGTAAATACCCCGCGAAGCGGTTGCAAACCTGCAGCTCTGTATTACGTCTTACGAATGCTGCACTCATTGCATTAGGGCTCCTGTCATCATTTTTCACAATCCAAGTGCAGACGCAAGCAGATCACGCCACTCTAGGGGCACTGATTTGTACTAAAATCCACTGATCCGATGCGGAGGGAGGGAGCTGGCTGGGTGGGGTTTCGTGTGTGCAGATTGCAAGCGTGATAGTGTTGGGTGTTATTAGGGTGCGGCATCGATTCCAGTGAAAGAAGAGGATGGCGCACTCTCCACTCGATTTTCTCTTCAGTCTCACAACGACTGCCGCTCGAATTACGCTAGCCCTTCGCCTAAGCTCAATGTATCCATGGGTGATCCAGATGGTGGTGTGGAATTGTTGTCTTTCAGCGGCTGTACGTTACACTAAGTCTGCTGTAGAGCGTGTTGTCGATCAGAGTTAGACAAACACTGGGTGAAATCGCACTGTTTGAAAACTGCACAACCTTCCATGAAGTACGGGCTTATGGTTTGATCTTGGAAAGCATAAACGACGGTGGCGTAAGTGACAGAGTAAGAGCGAGAGGGATTAAATCAGATGATGCGTCGGCTCCACGGTGGCATGAAGGCGCGAGTCCAAGACAATGGGACCTGGCAGGATATGTCAATGTAAACGACCCCCAGGTAAGCTGAATTTTGAGGTGTTGTTTTTGCTTGCTCACCAACTCCATTTCAGCAACGAGCTAGCTCAGCGACTAGACAACTTATCAATCGCCGGCGCCGCCGCTGAGGAGAACGGCTCCGTTGAGAACTGCTGGGACACAATCCAGTCGCAGACGCTGGCCGTCCTCGGTCGCGCATCCCGCCACCTACAACCTGCTCTCCGAGGAGGACCACCTGCAGAAAGCATAAATAGACCACCCAACCGACGACGACAACAAAGCAGCATTCTACCGTTGCCGCCGCCTTGTGCAACAGCGGCTACGCGAGAAGCAGAACGCACGGGCGACCAGCAAGTCTATGGAGATCCAAGGGAACGCGGACCACATCGAATGGAAGAACGTCTTCTCCGCCATCAAAGCAATCTACTGTCCGCCCGCCAAAGGTACTGCACCTCTCCTCAGCGCCGGCGGAAAAACCCCTTCACCGAGAAGACACAAATTCTGTAGCGGTACGCCGAACAATTCAGAGGCGTCCTCAATCGCCCTTCCAACATCTCCGACACCGCCATCGCCCGACCGCCCCAAGTGGAGACCAAAGCCAACCTTGACCTCCCACGATCTCTCCACGAGACTATCGGGACCGTGCAGCAGATCTCCAGCGGGAAGGCGCCCGCATCGGTTGCGAGCTCTGCGGAGGTCTACAAGCATGATTTTCCCCAGTTCATGGAGCATCTGACGGCACTGTTCCAGGAGATGTGGCTTTAAGGAGAAATCCAGCAGGATTTCAAGGACGCCACCATCATCCACCTATACAAACGGATAGGAAACCGCCAGCTTTGCGACAATCACCGAGGCATCTTCCTGCTGGACATTGGCGGTGAGATATTCGCTCACATTCTTCTCAACCGCCTTAACAATCACTTGGATTAAGGTCTTCTGGCGAATAGTCAGTGCGGCTTTCGCCGTCATCGTGGCACCATGGACAGGATCTTCACTACCCAAATGCTGCAGGAGAAGCGTCAGGAGATGCGGACCTACTTGCACCCTTCTTTCGTGGATCTGACGAATGCCTTCGACAGAGTGAATTGTGACGAAATGTGGAAAGTCATGCGGTGATTTGGCTGCCCCGGACGATTCAGTCAGAGGGTGCGTCAGCTCCGTGATGGGATGGTGGCACGCATTACGGACAATGAAGTTGTCTCGGAGGAATTCGCGTTGACCAACGGCATAAAACAACGGCTGCGTCCTCGCGCCTACCCTCTTCAGTCTTATGTTCCCCTCCATGCTGATGGACGCTTAACGCGACGAACGCCCCGGGATCCGCCTCGCCTATGGGACGGCTGGCCACCTCCTCAACCACAGACGGATGCACTTCCGGTCGCGTGTATCCACAGTCACCATCCATGAACTTCTGTTCGTCGATAAGCACCTCGGGATCCGCATCGCCATACAGAAGTGTGAGCAAACGGTTTAACCACAGGAAGATTCAAATTTGATCGCGTTCTTCCACAACCACCTTCCACTAGAAGAGTCAGACTGAAACAACTCCTTCTCAACGTGTTCACGGCACCCTCACGCATGTCAAATGTACGCTGCTCAACGGGAGTTTTGTGTAATCATGGTGCTTGTGAATGAGGAGCCAGGTCGTGCATGTGGCGCGCATATGCACGTTCATTATACCCTGTCAGCCACCGAGCCCATGCCACGCTCCAGTCAACTGACCGAGTCGGACATTGGCTGCAGCTCTGAGAATGTGAAGGGAGAGTGAGATCGACGACTCAGCGCATTTTCCTCCTCATTATAAAGTATCTGAAGTTATCACGGTGCACTAAAATCCGTGGTTTGGAAGGTTGTCAACTGACGGGATAGCATGGATCTCGCAGTCGACCTAACGTGTTTGTGTGTTTGTGTATGGAGTGACTGGCTGGTGGACTTAGAATCGGGTTCCAACGTCTCCTTCTTAACGTGGCCTCTATGTTGTGGCCTCGCCGTAGTCAGGCCCAGGCCAACGTTGGTCTTTCTTCCACTGAACAAAAGTCGGGGTTTAAAGTGGAGTTTGGCAGCCGTCTGGGACATATGCGCAGCCTTATGTAGTGAAAGCACTGCTCACCCCCGCAAAGGGAGAGGAGAAAGAATAGTTTCTAAACAAATGCTGGAGTCCCACGCCGTCTGTAGGTTGATTATTTCCACAGACTCGTAACTAACTGTCAAAAAGATCAAAATCGAAACAGCACTCTTGCCCTTCCTCCCCTTCGCTCTACTCCTTCCCCTCTCCCGCCAATTTCCCACTCCTCCCTCAACTCTCCCTCCTCCGCCTCCTCCCCCTCCTCCTCC